CTCCGTGGTGCCCAGCAAGAGGACAAGAGGCAACGGGCAGAAACTGAACCACAGGAAGTTCCATCTGAACCTGAGAAAGAACTTCTTTCCTGTGAGGGTGACAGAGCATTGGAACAGGTTGCCCAGAGAGGTAGTGGAGTCTCCTTCGCTGGAGATATTCAAAACCCGTCTGGATGTGATCCTGGGCAATATGCTCTAGGTGACCCTGCTTGAGCAGGGAGGTTGGACTAGATGATGTCCAGAGGTCCCATCCAACCTAAATGATTTTGTGATACTCCTTCCCCCCAGCTACCCCTCTTCTGCCTGGATAGCATCACACAAACATCTCTTGGGCTTTTAAAGCAGGAGGAGCTGCAGTGTTTCTATGTGCCTTATCTGCCTGAAAAGGGTCAAGGAGCTAAAATTCTTAGAGTCATCAACTCCTAGCAAGATAGGCACTGAGGTAAGTAAATTCTCTGTAATAAAAATAATAATGAGAAAAAAACCCCAGCTCTTTTCCTTTTAAGGCACTCTGGGAGATGCTGCGGTTCTCTGAGCTATCCACTGCGTCTTTTCACTTGATACCATCAGTTTCTTGCGTTAATGGTTTTTTGGGATGGGCATTAGGTTAGGCTATGTTGTGGCTTTGAATATATTTGTTGTCTTAAAGTGCTGACAGTTTTCCTAGAAGCACTAGTTGGAAGGGTCCTCTGCAGGTCTGCAGTCTAGCCTCCTGCTTGGAGCAGGATTATTGCCAACCTGAAACGCAGATGGGTTTCGGGTTGTAGTAACTGTCCAGCTAAGGCTTGACTTTTGCTAGCTTTTAGGTGTTGAGCATGGTATCATCACTCATGTAGACCTCAGACTGTTGACGTGCTAGCTTGTTCTTGAAACAAAGCTGGGTTTAAAAAAGTGTGTTGCATACGAGTACTGGTGTTTTAAAGCAACTGCTCTTAAAGTAGGTTTTCTTGCTACTAAAAATTGGCAAGTGTTTTGGAGAGCGCTGCAGTGTAGCAGAAAAAGGAAAGAATGAAGATAATTGTCCAAAAATGTCTGAAACGGAGCAAGTCAAATAAAAATCCTCCCTTGTCCAAAAGGCAATGGAAAAAAACGTCGCAAGGCGAATGAGGGTGTAGTTTACAGTGTTGGCAGCTCTTAAAGTGTGTACTTGCACCATGTAATGTGTGCTCTGGAGCTCACCCTGTAAGGTGAGTAGTTTGCTCCATTTATTGGGAAGGGGGTGAAAGGCTGGTAGAAGTGATTACACGGTGTATCTAATGCACTATAAATATTTATACCCTTGTTTGCTTCAGGGTAACTTGTTTTTGTAGCCTCACCTTCAGGCAATTTAGACTGACAACTTAACTGCTGCACAGACAATAAAGGAAAGAGAGGCTTGGACTAATCTGATCTGAAGCTGAGAAATAAAACTGAGTCTCTGATTAATTGATTTTTTTCCTGGGGCTTCTGTCACTTCATTGATTTTTTTTTTTTTTTGACCCTGCTTGTATTTAAAAAAAAAAAGGGGAGGGGGGGGAGGGGTTTATATAC